AGAGAAGGCAAACAACATCACGAGCATAGCAAGAAGAATGTTCAGGTGGTAGGTAAACAGTAACAATAAATACCACAGATCGCTGCAAGACAAAAACCTCTAGACTATAAATAAAGAATGGCAGTTGATATATTTTACTTATTTTTTTAATCTCATTTCATTTTGTTCCATAAATCAATGTATTTTGGAAATGTTACTGTATTTAGCACTCTTCAGTTAGCAAATCTATTATAACTACAAGCTCCATATGATCAAATTACAAGAAAATGTTTCATTAATGTGATCAATGATCGTAAGCTCCTCAATAATGTAGCTTACTAACCTTTTGCTATTTTCTGCATGATTTGAGATAGCTGTCTCCTGACATCCTTCACAAACTTCATCCCTCTCACCTACAGCCAATGAGTTCCAGAAACATAATGTGCATATATTAGAAATTAGAATCATACTGTATATGACATTAATATGATGCATCAGAATTTTGATGAGATTCCCTCATAGTGAGAAACCAAAGTAAATTCTAAAAAATTAAAGATTGTAAAGGGGTACCTGCAACTGATAATCCTTGCACCAATCAATGTCATAGTTAGTTTGATGCCAACACTCATAGATTTGTAGCAACTGGATATGATCACCCCAGCCAGAACCACCAGGAAGGTCCAAATAATCATGTTTCCTCTTCTTCTCAGTATTCTTGCTACAAATGGAGTCATGCACAACTACAATTATCTCAAATGAAATATTCATACTTCAAGGGACACACGGAAAGTGAAGAGGCGTACAAATATCTTCTAAAGTACAGACTTCATAGGTATGCAAATCTTTAACTATCTACCGGAACGTATGTGTGCATGTGTGCGCATTTAGTTTCACTTATTTTGAGATATGCAAGTATCTTCAAACTAATAACACAATGCATGCTATTAACAAACTTCCACAACATACATAGGGGCACCATCTTCTAAGAGAATTTTAATGAGTTTACCTTCGACTAGGAAGCAAAGTGGTTTCTGCGGATAACATAGCAGCAACAGTCAAAGCCTGGGATAAGCAACCATGCTCATTTGCCTCCATTAAGGTCCTTGACAATGAAGGTTCTAGTGGAAGCTCTGCATAAAATCAAGAAAATGCTCTGCTGACTCATCAAATATCCAAGAAGGAATATGCTCAGTGTGAACACAAACACTCATATCAATAGGTAATAAATTCTAACACTAGTAACAGATATTATACGGAAGAAAGCGCATGCATGAATGCGATGCAAGAATTTTATGAAAACATGGATGACACTTTTATTACAATTCAACTAAGGATATGGATGATGTATAATATGTTCACCACTATAAAATGATATTTTGTTGTCCAAAATGGTAGAACTGTGCAATGAGACCAAATTTATCAAAACTACTAAAACTTGTGCAGGCTTCAAAATAATGGCAACACATAGTGAAAATATTATAACTCTTCAAAAATGGGATGTAAATCTAGTACCAGCCATCGTTTTTCCAATTCTTGTGATCAATCCGTTTTCATCAATAGCATCGATAAGATACAATTGCTTCAAAGCATCTTGTAAAGACTCAGCTGCGGCAAAAGCAATTGGATGTAAACAATTATATGCAAGCAATGTATGCCTGAAGAGGGAAGAAACACACCGGAAAAAAAACTGTCTTACGGGAAGGAGAATCAAGAAAATCAAATTTGAGAATATCAATATCAGGGAGGTCCAAAGATTTCAAATAAAGAACACTTCCAGCAAGCGAAGAGCGTTGTATTTCAGGAATTGTTACATCCAGGAACTCATCCTCATAAACCGCGGAAGGGTATAATCGATAGCACTTCCCAGGACGTGTTCTTCCTGCTCGTCCAGCACGTTGATGTGCTTGTACCCTGCAATCATATGAATCCAAAATTTATTAGAACGATAAGCAGAATCAATCATGCTTTTAAAGATAAACATTCAAGGTTATAAACCTATAAACATGAAATCCTCCTTTTATTGGAATTGCAGTTTAGGCCCCTTGGCCCATGCTTTTTAAATGATAACTATACATTTGTTTCTAGATCGAAATGCCACTATAAGAAGTTGATAATGCTGATTGCTTGCATAGTTGGTTCAGAGTTGCAGTGTTAAAAGCTATTATGGAACACATAAACAAGGAAGGGAAAAGGCCTAGTGAACTTCCGTTTCAAATCTTTTCACATAGGAATGAAATGGATCAAGATTCAAATTACTGCTCATATGTGTTAGAAACCTTATAGCAAACTAATAATTGGTAGAGTATAAGATGTGTGAATAAGGAAGTTAAGAGATTATCCTTCGGAAAAACCAGGCAACACATCCACCGTAATTGCACAAAAATAACCCAAGAACGAAAAAAAAAAAAAGTAATGAATTCAAGTGCAAAGACAGAAATAGTAACAAGCTATATGATAAAAATGGAACTACCAACTCCTTACTTGCTAATTTGAACAACATCGAGAGAATACATGCCAGTTGACGGGTTGTACTGCCTTTGCTTCACATAACCAGAATCAATAACATACCTGTGATTCACACATAATTTCTAAGTATGAGGAAACAGAAAACTGTTTAACGTCATTCAATTATGGCACAACCAGAATAACTGAGAGTAAATCAAACTCCATATATAGGAGGAAGAGTGAACAAACAATGTGGCAAAAATGTTTTCTTGAATTTGACTGATATCATTGCTTCCACAGAATCATTAAGTAAATTTCATCCAAGCAAAGCCCCCATTTTATATGAAGCAATATAAATAAATAAAATAAAAAAGCAGAATGAATGTGATAGATAGATAGGCATTAGTTTCTTCTCTTACACAACACCATCAACAGTCAAAGAAGTTTCAGCAATGTTTGTGGCAACAATAAATCTCCTACAATTTGGAGGTCGAGGTCCAAAAACACGTACCTGTATATAAAAGATGAAGCATCAACCAACAAAGTATTATGAGTATAAACCATCCAAAAGTAGAACACAAATACAAAAGTCTACTTGCCTGCATTTCAGGCTGCAAAGAACCATGAAGAGGAAGTATGATGGCATCCATGCAAGACCCTTCTTCCAGGCTTCGAACTCTATCTTCTAACTTAGATACCAACTTATCTATATCATCCTATGCAGAATTACACTTTCTTGGTCAATAGAAGCATTGTGTGGAAAACCAATGTAATCAACAGTATTAATCCAAAGTAGTCACAGACTCACATGTACATAGGATGTCATAAAAGGAAAATACAGTAAGAATACAGCATCTCACCTGCCCAGTCATGAATATTAAGACATCACCTTCCCCTTCCTTCATATGTATATCTGTAAAAAGAGAAACTGGTTAGTTCAACCTCTTACCAACAGAAGAAGAAGAATTTGGAAACTGTTATATACTAAACTGGAAGAAAAACGTCAACTTAAAACAACAGAGGGAAGATACCACATTAATTATATAAAGATATATACAATGATGAGGTAACGAGTAAACTAAAAAGCCACATCATACCGAGAGCTGTTGCTAAAGATGACTCAAGATAGCTGATAGGTCGCTCATGACTGTACACTATTTCGACTGGAAATAACTTCCCTGGGACTCTCACTACAGGGCATTCTGAAAAGAATTGTGATACTTTTTCACCATCAAGAGTTGCTGAAGTGATCAGAACCTTGAAATTTGAGGCACGCCTTTTAACCAAGCGTTTCATCAGTCCCAGCAAAATGTCCCTGGTTCACAAAATGCACATTTAAATAAACAAAGACTAGAAATTCTAACACAAAACAACAATTAGTAAACCACAAAGAAAATACGGAGAGAGAGAGCAATGGTACGTGTTCAGGCTCCTTTCATGAGCTTCATCAAGTATTACTACAGAGTACTGATCGAGCTCTGGATTGGAAAGACTTTCACGAAGAAGAACTCCATCAGTGAGGTACTTGATACGCGTCCTCTCTGACGTTCTATCTTCAAATCTGATGGCGTATCCAACTTCATCCCCAAGCCGAACACCAAGCTCCTGTGAAACTCGTCTGTGTACAATTTCAACAAATTTATAATAAACAACTCATTCGAATAGTGTAAAACGCAAGATCAATTCAGAAGCCAATGAGCCAAACAATGGCGGCTTTACATTATACCTGGCGACGGAGACAGCGGCGACTCGGCGAGGCTGAGTGACGCCGACGATTCCAGACTTGGTGTAGCCTCTTCTGTGAAGTATTTGCGAGAGTTGCGTGCTCTTTCCTGAACCGGTCTCTCCAATAATCACTACGACCGTGTTTTCTTCTACTGCTTTCATGATTGTCTCTTCGAATTGGAGGATTGGTAGGTCCGCCATTGATGGAATAGCCAAGCTTCAAAATTGAAGAGTGACAGGAAAGAAGAATAGGGTTTTTGAGAATTATTTGCAAGAAAATTGAAATCAGGGTTTTAGAAAAATCAATTGTTTTTTTTTTTGAAAATTAGCGATAGAAAAATCAATTGTTTTTCAACGGTTTTTTGAGGGAACACCAAACGACACCGTCTCAAATAGTTGTTTGTTAGTTGTTTGTTTAATTGCATCCTAATTATTATCTACAACTGTTTGTAATTGTGAATTACTAACATTAATTACCCAACAATTTCAATGGAAGAGATTTCCAGAAGCTTTTAGAAAATATTGGTCTCCAAAAAAAGTTTGAGTTTCCAAATGTGAATTATTTCAGTTGACCATGACAACATTCCCGTCCGTTTGCACTTGAGTTGGATCTCCCTCCCCGCACATTAGAGTAATTAGAATATCACTTTGTAAAAATAAAATAAAAAGTCTGAGTTTGATTATCAAAAGCTTTCCCAACATTTTTTCTTTGGTCAAATTTAAATTAGTAAACTACTTATTTGACTGAGTTTAAGACCTTTTGTGGAAAAGTTATTACTTAATTACAAAGATTTCATATTCAGAGGGGCTGTTTAATTTCTACTTGTGGAAGTGAGTGATCTACAACGCATAAGGATAAGAAATACAACAAACAAGTACAATGAGATGAACAAAAGCATAAAAAAACTGCTTCAATTGAACAAGACTCTCCCATGCACAGCTTCATTCATTCATTCTTGCCAGTTTCCAAAAACAGCTTTCATTGTCACAAGCTTGATCCCTCTCACCCACAACTGAGCCATTTCAATCCCATTTTCACACACAAAATGCAGCTCCTTGTTCTTTGTGGTCACCACATGGAAGAGTCCAGGCTCATCAGTATCGAATTTCCTCCTACGATTCCATCGAAACGAATCACTAGCCCCAACCTCGGCCTTCTTGCAAATCACCTTTCTCTTACTTGACTTCCCCCACTGCAAAATCCCAACACCCCCCACCATTTTCAAGACTTTTCTATGGGGAGCTCCTTTCCCGCACTTTGTGTGCTTCTTTACATGAGTTCCACCCAACACAAGTTTTCTTGCAAGCTCATCCAATATCACATTCTCTGCATCCTTCCCAGTTCCACTTTTCCTTGCAAGCAAAAGTGCCGTCTCATGTCTTGCATTCACAATGTCACATCTAGCCTCGAAAGAAATCAAAAGCCCGCAGACCATAGCATGGCCTCCTCTTGCTGCTAACATCAATGGAGTATATCCATCAGCATCAGGAGCATTAATATCTAGCCCTCTGCTTATCAATGTATGAACAAAATCAAAGTCTCCATGCTGTGCTGCCTGGTGTAGAGTGTAAAACGCAACCGGACTATCAAATTTCTTTTGAGGTGCATGTTTAACCATTAATTTTTCAAATTCTGCACCGTTTTGATTTATTTCTAATAGTTCCTTTATGTTCTGACCATGTTTGTTCTCTAGGTTCATGTCAGCCCCAGCATGGATAAGCAATTTCAAAGCTTCCAGGTAACCACCTGCTGCAGCTATCATGACAGCTGAGTTTCCATTTTCATCTTGCTCATCGAGATCAACGTCTGCTCCCTCAATTAGTTTCTTCAAAGCCTCAACATCATTTGCTCGAGTCACAAACATTAGAGGAGAGAATATTGATGTATTGCTTGATTGAACATCCTTCCCAGATTGAATCACGTCTAAAACTGCTTGTCGGAAGCCAAGAGCCCACCTAGCTGACTCTGCAATTGAGCTTGCACCATGACCAGAAGAATTGATCAGGCCAAAATCAGCACCATCTGCAGCCAAAATTTTGAGGCATTCCTGATGCTTATATCTAGCACAGATCATTAGTGCAGTTTCTCCCGATCCTGTTTGAGAGTTTACATCACAGCCATCATTAATCAGTCGTTGCAGAACTGCAGGTAATCCAAGCCGTGAAGCCAAGTGAATGGGGCGGTCAGTTTTTGAAGTTGTCGTCTTAATCGGAACTTCCACATCCGCGCCACAATTCAAAAGCACATCTACTGCTCTTTCATTGTTACATAAGATGGCATGGTGAATGAGAGTCCTCCCAAAGTGAGGAATGTTAGGGGAGAGGTGTTGCAAGAGCAAGCGCAAGATAGCACCACTGGCTTCAAAGTACTCCACAGCACACCAGGTCACACTGTATGCCTCAGCTAGTCCTGCACCCACCCGAAATTCTTCCCCGGTACTTACATCCCAGGACCAGCCCCCCAGACTAACTTTTATATCTGTTCTGACTCCAGCCTGCTATTTTGTTGCAAAACATACATAACATTAGATATAAATGCATGAACAACCTCTGCTCCACCTTACAATTTGCTTCATAGTAAAAGGTGTGCATAGTATACCAAGAGAAGGGTCAGTGCTAACCTGCAACAAGAGTCTGACAACAGAAATCTGCCGGCTAACAACGGCAGCAACAAGCGCATTACAGTGAACATTGGTGTACAGAGATGGCCTACAAGATTGAAGCAGTGCTCGATCAGTTGCATCGGCATCCACCCCACACTGCCACCAATCAATAGCATCACTGTCATCAAACAAAATTATAGGTTCAACCAATCAAAGAACACACATTTTGGTGATGCTAAGTTGGTAACCTTGTAATTTAAGGGTCATGTTTTAGGCAATCTGTAGACTGCAATTAGCTTGTCATGTTAAAAAGTTACCTTGATGAGTGTGTCAACTACATGGACAAAGCCTCTGCAGCAAGCAGATACAAGAGCGTGTACTGCAGCTTGAGGGCGGATCAAATCGGATCCCATGAGCATCTCGGCAGGCCTAGCCCTGCCCAAGTAGCTTGCCTCCAACAAAGCCTCCTCACATGCCTGCTGAGATGCCCCGCCATTGATAAGCACCTCCAATATCTCCAAGTCGCCTTCTCTTACTGCTGCTGTTGTTGCATAGCCTCGAAACAGTTTCTGATTCACATTGGCTCCATAACCCTGTCACATGAAATGAGAAAAAAAAAACAAAACAAAACAAAAGACGTCGTATCCATTGCTGATTTGGCTAAAAAAAGAAAATGCAGGAGCAAATGATCAAAGATAAAGATGCAATTGAATTCATTGAAGCTCATAAATGCTCGATTTTCCTCAACCTCGCGTCAGTTACAGTATATACTATGATTTCAAAATAGCAAGACCAAAAATAATAAATAATAATAATAATCTGACACGTCAGCATGAATGTCTAAACAAAACAAGCACCATGATGCAATTTCACATCAATTTTCCCTCATTTTCCCAAGAAACAAACACAAAATATCAACAACAAAAAAAATTAAATATTCACAACGGTCTAAATGAAAATTAAAAAAAATGATATTGATGGCGTTACCAGGAGCTTCCTAACAAGCGTCAAATTTCCAGAATGAGCGGCGAGAAACAAAGCAGTGACCTGCGTCTTGAACTCCTCGTACTCGACACGAACCTCGTGCGCCGACTCGCCCTGCACCACAATCTCTGTCTTCTTGGACTTCAAGCACACTGTCCCGACGAAGTTGACGTCCACGAAAGGATCGCCCAAACACTCGCACGCCGACTTCAAATCGTTGTCGTGCGAAGCGTCCACCAGGCGCTGCGAAACCTCGGCCTCGTAGTCGACCGGAAACACGTGCGCTTTGCCAGAGAGGGGTACCGCGCTCGAGTTTCGAAACACCGTCATTGGCGAAACGTTTCGTCGAATGGAAACCTCTGAAAGAGCTTCGTGGTTGGCTGGCTGGCTTTTGTGATTGTGTGTTTGCAGAGATGGCTCTGTTTTGCTTGTTCAGTGTGTTGGGCTTTTGGCGTCAGGGAGAAGCTTGAGAGAGAAAGAGAGGGAAGACATTTGTTTGCTTGGGGGGATTGTGTAGAAATGTGAGTTGGTCAGAAATCAGATTGTTGTAAAAGTTTTTATTTTTTTATTTTTTACAATGGGTCCATTGTGGGCCCCACTAATTGTGTTAAGCTAGTATCAGGCCTACAAATCTTTCTAGTTTCTATCGTTTCGATTTGGGATTTGTCATTTTGTTTCTCTGGTTTTTTTTTTTTTTACACAATATTAGTGGCATAATTACTAGAATTTAATGGGTGAGATAATTTGTGTTTGTATTTAATCTGTTTTAGAAAAATATTATGCGTATTCCACATAATCAATGCATTTTATGAAAAGGAAAAGTCAAGCAGATTTAAATACGGTGTTATGTATAGAGGGAAAAATTAAGCAGAATATAGTAGAGAAAATCAAAACAAACTATCTGAATCTATTTTTTTTTTTTAAATCCTACAAAAACATGTTGGTATTTTTATTATTCTTATTTAAGGAAGATGAAAAAGTGATTAGTATAAAGCTTATGATTATATTTTGTTTTGTTGAAAGTTAGGTCAAATGAATATTATAAAAATAAATAGTTGATGCTTGATCAAGAAAAGAGAAAGAAATTTGGCAACAAAAAAAAAAAAAAAAGAAAGAAGGAAAAAGTGTTCCTTACAAAGATGGAATTATAATCACCTAATCCGATTAAAATTTATGTTTATATCCAATGAACCAGATGATTAGATTTCATATATAAAAAAACTGATGTTTTGTAGGCGTTACATATGCTCCAAAATCATTTCCATTTGAACTGACCTAAAATTTGGAAATTATTTATCCAGATTCAGCCGTCAAGCCAAATTCAAACCAACCAAAATTGTATTGCTTAATCGAAATGGTTTTGCAACTGGCTGAGCACAAAAAACATATAAAATTATTTTTCTGAATCATAAAAGCACTTATGAGAGAAGAGTTTCTTATCAAAGCAGTTCCACGCGAACTCTAAGAAAGTATTTTCTATCATAGTAATACTCTAAGTCACGCTCACGGATGTAGACTTTGATGTAAACTAAATTAAAGTGATTATCGATACAGCCAAAGGTTAGTTCTTATTTTTAACGACATAAGATTCCTTGGACTTTGCTTGTCCCACGTACACATAGCGTTCAACAACTTCAACTCATCTACTGCCGGATTTAGCCTGCATTTCATGTCTTCATTCTTGGAGTCACAATAACTCACCGTTATAACATTATTGTTAACATTTTTTTGATTATATGCAATTTGGAGGTTGGTTGCTTGTTTCGTTTGCGCAAGTCCCTATCTATCCCCCACACAAAGTCATAACATTGGTGGCCTGCCGCTTAACCCTAACTTCTTTATTGCGTTAAGTTTAATATAGAAACAAAGGATTGCTGCCTACTCTGATATGTACACTAAAACTATGGAAAAGGGGTGTCTGCAACTCAGCATTTCCAACTTGGGTAATGCTAGCAACCTTCTCTCTAACCTTCTCTTTTGGACCTTCTCCATTTTTCTCACGACACGTGTCACATTCCTTACACTTAAAACAAACAAACTTTTCTTTTCCAAATATACCCTTACTGAATATTTTTATTCATAAAATATTTCAACTTTTTTATTACTCTCTCCCACTATCACGTTCTCTCTCTCTCTCTCTCTCTCTCTCTCTCTCTCTCTCTCTCTCAGACCTATCTTCATAATCACAACCAAGGTATTAAATATCGATAATATCTGATTTTTGGGGGTCCAATATTTTAACAACTAACCATAGTGTTATCGTCAATATGTCGATATTATCCCGATATTATCGGGAAGATATTTTCAACATTTTTATGAATGATTTGGGCAATATGTCGAGATATTATCGATAATATCCTGATAAGAAACCCAAAAATATTTATATACATGGTATTTGTGAAAACCATTTTACTCCTTCAACACCTTAACCACCATATACATGGTTTTGTTTTGAGTTCTTTTTGCAAGAAACAAATTTTCATATGAGATGAGTAGTAACTATGGTTATACTCATAACCAACCATTTCCCTACCCTTCATATCCCATTCCTGTTGGGATGGAATTAAGCGACTCATGGAAAGAATCCGAGACTCAATTTTCAAATGATTTTGCTTATGGACAACGTCAACCAATCTCGGATCCATATGGGTGGCATGTTAACAATTACATGCAAAATTATTTTGGGGATTTATCATTTGATGACTACTCTTCAAAATATACTTACTCTACACATAGAGATGATGAAGATAGTGAAAATTTTGAACCTCATAGGAACTTTATGTGGTACTAAGTCACTCATGTATCTTACCATGCAATGTATAAAGTGTAAAATATTGTAGTAATTCATTATATATAAATGATTATGGTGTGTTTAATCTTATTTCATTAATTACTACATATTTTCTACACTTACAGTGTTTGCCAGCTCGCTATATAATAAACTTAAATAAGTTAAATCCATCATGCAATGCATTTCCTTCCAATTTTTTGTGATAAACTAATAGATAATTGACTAAATAAACATCCTACAAAGTTTCAATAAAAATTTCTAAGTTTTTCTTACAATTTCCGTGGTTTTTATTCAATTTTTACCGATACCGATAATATCCCGATATTTCCTTCGATATTTCCGTGTTTTTGGACTTCCGATATTTCCGATACCACCGATATTTTAGACCTTGGTGCTGAGCAGTCTATATCAGGCGATATCACAGTATTTGTACCTCCAACCCAGAAGCGACATTCTTCATCCTTGTGATGTCATGGAGGTTCAACTAGAATTAGTCATAACAACCTTTTTGGATTATAAATCAAAACTTTTGTCATGTTTCTATAATAACCCATTTTCTTTCTTGTTTAGGATGTTGCAATTGCATATGGATATAATAATATCCCAAAGCGAAGTCCTGCATCTTTGAAGCCATTAGCCTTGAATGAGATCACTGACCATATCAAATTAGAGGTGAACAAAACTTTTTGGTTGATAAATAACAGTTTTAAGTTTTACCCTTCCATAGTTTACTTAATGAAGTGTTGTTTATTCTGACTTCTTTTATTATGGGCTCGTGGAGAGAAAATTTTGCCATGTTAAATCGTAAAGATGATAAATCGAAGGTAGTGGTTGTTGGAAATCCTCGATCGTCTGATTTTGAACTTGTCTCCCACCACTTCACCCAGACTCATCCTCACACTTGGACTCAAACTGACTCCTTTGCTTTGGCAAAGTCAACAAATGAAACTGCACAGCACCTCTTGAGTCTTTGCAAGCATGCTGCTTTTGCAGAAAATAAAAATAAAAATTCCAAGTCCCTCCCCTTAACCCAAATTCAAAACCATTTGGAAGACTCTACCGTCCCTTCCTCCCTTCTCCATCGTCCCTGCCCTCATACGCCACCCACCCTCCCTGCAATTTCTCACCACACCCACCCCCACCCCTCCCCAATCTCTATGTATTGGTTCTAGCCCACCATCCTCCCTGAAATTTAGGTTTTTGCAAATTAACAAAATAAAAAGATGACAAAATCATCATATTCATATTTTTGTGTAGAGATGTGTGAAGGAGATATTGTAAAATTTTTAATATATATCAAACATGGGTGGGGTGGAACATGGATGTGGCTGCTGGGTTTTCACCGGTGGGGGAGGAGTCGAGGTTGGGGTGGGAAAACGAAATTAGTGGCTGGGGTGGGAAGTGGGGGTTGCTGCACAGGTGGGAGAAGGAGAGATGAGTTGTGGGTGTGATTGCCGTGTTGACTGTTGGGTTTTACCGGAGGAGGAGGAGGAAGAGGTGGGGCGAGGGCGAGTTGGGGTGGGGATCGAGTGATTTTTTTAATTTATTTTGTCTGAGGGATCGAGTGATTGAAGAACCCCTTTTGACTGTTGGGTTTTACCGGAGGAGGAGGGGGAAGAGGGGGGGCGAGGGCGGGTTGGGGGGGGGATCGAGTGATTTTTTTAATTTATTTTGTCTGAGGGATCGAGTGATTGAAGAACCCCTTTTTTGATTGTTTATTATTTTAAACAATAAAAAGGGCAAATACGGAAATACAATTAATGTTCTTTTGTGTAATTAAAATATTGATTTAAGTGTAAGGAATGTGACACGTGTCATGAGAAAAATGGAGAAAGTCCAAAAGAGAAGGTTAGAGAGAAGGTTGCTAGCATTCCCCTTCCAACTTAACAAAAGACATGATAACTGGATGGGCTACATTGGGCAAGTTAGCATGTTGCCATGACAGCAATATATAATTTTTTTTCTTTATTCCAATCAAAACTTAAACAAATAAAAAAACAAAAAACTTAAAGGTTCGTTTTGGTACTTTTAGAGTCAGAGTAAAATCAGGGAACCACATTTTTGTGTCATATTTCAATATAAGGTGATGCAACAAGTGATACGTTCAAACAACATTCAAAATAATTTCACATTTTAATTGACATGATATGTACACATCAACTTACAACCATATAGATGTTTGATTAAGTAGCATATGTGTATATTTTGACATGTACATCACCTTATCAAACTACATATCATAAAAAATGAAGGCTTTGTTTAGGAAAATTTCGGGCAAAATAAAGCTCGTATGGAATATAGGTGTCAAACAAGCGGCGCAGGGTTGGCCTGACCCATCTAGAGTCGGCCCATTTAATAAACCAATCATGCCAGGACTGTTCATTTATGAAAATCGCCAATCTCGGGGCATGCTCGTGTCGGGCCACTACATGAGGCAAGATGGGCCCATGCCAAATTTGACTTATGTATTATTTTTTCTTTTTTCTTTTTTTTTGTAATTTTTTTTTACAACTTCATTTTTTTTTTTTTTTTACAATTATCTTTATACAAATAAGATTTATTATTTGTTGAAAAAAGAGGCCAATAACTTCATTCAACCTCGGTGCGAACTTGTATATCCAGCCACCCGCCCAACTGCTAGTCGACTGTGCATGCTTACACTGGTTAAGCTGGTGTGACCTAGACATTTAGGGCTCGTTTGGTACGCCTCCCTAACTTGGACTGGACTGGACTAATTTTTATCCCATGTTTGTTTTCACTTGGTTTTAATTTTAAGTGGGACTATTAATACTGGCCCCACCAAAAACACCTCCTTAGGTGTTCTTAGTTAATCTCACTTGGAAAGGGCGGACTAGACAGTCCCGACCCTATCACTTGCAAAAACCAAAGCGCTTGCAACCACCCAAGCGCTAGCCAACCACCAACCACCCAAGCGCCATCCATAACCACCAATCACCCAAGCACTTGCAACCGATCCAAACCCCCACTGTCACAGCCATACGTAGCAACCCCAATCCACCATCACAGCCACACGGTTCTAGTTAGTTTCGATGAGCACCGTACGTTTGACTTCCATTCAAAACTCAGATAATAAGAAAATCCACAATTGCAGCCATACGATTTCGGTACGCACCAATGGCAGACAATGAGGACTTCATAGCTTGGGGTTGCAGGAGACGGCGATGGCCTCTTGAGCAGAGGGAGAAAAGGAGAAGAAGAGAATACCGTAAAATAGGAAAAGGAGAGAAAATTTTCGAGCAAAAAAAGGCATAGATAAAAAAAGACTGAGAATAAGAGGAGAATGAGACGACCACCACCACTGTGCTAGTAAGGAAGAGCACATAGTAGCAGGGCGGTGCGCAGGATAAAGAAAAAGAAAGAGACTCAGAAAAAAAAGAAAAGTTTTATATGAAAATAATAAAAAATTCACATTCCCCCAAAAAAATAAAAATAAAAATCATATTTTTCACAAAAAAACAGAAACAAAAACTTACCTTTAAATTAAAAAAAAAATAGTCCTAGTCCTATCAAACTTACACCAAACGCAGTACAAATGTTATCCAACTTAGGCCAGACCAAGCCAATCCAAGACAGTCCCAAAATTTAATCCAGTCCATATCAGTCCGCCATACCAAACGAGCCATTAGTACTTCTATTTGATTGCAACGTTTGGCACGGTGCTGCTGTTTTGGGGGCTCCTCATCAGTTTTCACTTGCCATTCATATTCCTCACCTGGTAGGCACGTTCCTCGTGTGCATATCTTATTGGTTTATTCTTAGAGGTTTCATGGTGCATTCTTAGTGGCTAGTTATGGTTGTGTTGTACAACTCTCTTATGGTACTTCTCATTATCCTTTGGTACTTACTACCAGAGAAGTGAGAGTGTCGTTACTGCTTGCTTCACCACTACCTTACCAAACTACATGTCATCCAAAATGAAGGTTTGTTTAGGGGAGTCTTGGGCAAAATAATGTTATGGAATAGAGGTGTCAAACGGGTCGTGCCGAGTAGGGCTGTCCATTTAGAGTTGGCGCATTTAATAAACGGGCCGTGTCGGGCTCGTCCATTTATGAAAATCACCAATTCCAGCACGAGCCCACGACCCTAGCCCCTATGCAGTGGCGGACCTATTAAGGCCGAGTCTTTGTTCTTTTACTTTCATTTATTTTTATATTACTCTATTTACTTAAGTTTACAATATTGTAAATAAGGAAGTACCCCCCCCCTCCAATTTGGATTTAAAAAAAAAAAAACAAACTAGAAAATCAAATTCCCACCAAATCAAAATATGAAAAATCGGTTTTAGTGCAAAATACGATTTAGGCTAAAAAAAATGGCTCATTAAGTTAATATATACTTCATACTAAAATCCCATAAAATCAAGTTTTCTTATTTGATCTGTAAGGAATAAAAGCCACCAAAAATTATCTTGAGAAAATGATTATTCCGAAAAACAGTTTTTCATACTTAGCCAATACTTTTACATAAAACAATTTTTCATGTATGATATGAATGCATGAAGGGACCTAAGGTCAATCTAGGTAAAAAGCCTTAGATATTCAATCAACAAAAAGTTTTACAAGAATAACCTAACTCTTACGTATTGAAGAAATGTTTGCTTGAATGAGCTCCCCCAAGACAGTACTCATAAGGGTCCAAAGTTTGAGAGCTAAAATAACGTGTTTGTTTGTATTTTTTATTTTATTTTATTATAAATAAATCATTGTCAAAATTGCACCTTCACTAAAACATTCTTGAGTCCACTAGTGCCCATATGGGCCACTAATCGGGTGGAAATGGGCCCACTCCAAATTTGACTTATGTATTGCATTTTTTTTTTTGTAATTTTTTTATCACTTCATTTACATCTTTTTTACAATTATATATATACAAATAAGATTTATTATTTGTTGAAAAAAGAGGCCAATAACTTTATTCAACCTCGGTGCGAACTTATATCCAGCCACCCACCCAACTGCTAGTCGACTGTGCATGCTCACACTAGCTATGCTAGTGGGACCCTGCCATTTAGTACTTCTCTTTGATTGCAACGTTTGGCATGATGCTGCTGTTTTGAGGGTTCATCGTTGTCAGTTTTCACCTGCCATTCATATTCCTCACCTGGGAGGTATGTTGTTCGTGTGCATGTCTTATTGGTTTATCCTTAGAGGTTTCATGGTACTTTCTTGGTGGCTAGTTATGGTTGTGTTGTACAACTCCCTTATGTTACTTCTCATTATCCTTTGGCACTTACTACTAGATAAGTAGAGTGTCATTATTGCTTGCTTCAACACTACTGTTGGAACATAAATTCTTACAATAAGAATATCTTCCACAGGTTCTCGGCTTTACTTCGCATGCAAGATAAATGAAATCTCCAAGGGACGCTTCTTCGAAATCAAATGAGAAATAATAGGGTACTTGACAAAGATACTCCGACGCTCAAATTAGTTTTTGTATGTGTCTAAATGCACAAGTTAATTTAGAGTCGCATACCTTCATCTGGTTGTGAAACTTCACCTTTATACCTGATGACAGCCTTGAGATGTAAGCTCCACTTCGCACGTCCTATGCCCACTTTCGCCACTTCCGATTAATGAGAGTTGTGCGTGATCAACCCCCAACGTGTTTGTGTTGTCCCTTGATT